AACCCCTGATGCTCTGTTTCACCTACAAAAAAGAGGTTTTGAATTGCTCACATACAAAGAGTCATGGACATTTTGGAAACATGCAAGCCTTGAATTTCCAGGAGTTTTTGAATTTATAGAATATTAAATATACCACATAAAATTGAGGTCACCTACTCAGATCACAGATGTTAAGAATGTTTCAGGGCCACAGCAGAGTTGCTGGAATTTGTTAAAAATTGCATTTCCAATATTGAGATTATTTGCTTCGAAGTATGTCAAATGTCCAGTCACAACTCTGTATATATCCTGCTATATGTGCAAGCAAATAACTTCAATTAGACAATCTTGACATGAATATGTCAATCTTGACATAATAATGAAAAAAATATTAATGATTTGCCAGTTTGTTTCCTTGGAGAAAGGGAACCCTCCTCTGTCTATCATATATTTGCTACTTGATCTAGTAAACTAGAGGTGAGCAAGTAAGTAAGTGGTGTTTCTACAAGGTCTAAGGACACTTGAAAACAATTTGTTCTCTTAAGTGGGTTAAATAACTCCTCCCTGAACATCTTATTATGTGATGATATTGTAAAAATTAATTTTTCTTCATAAGGATGTCATATGTATACCCTGACTATAAAAATGGCTAAAATTTAAGCTTTTTAGGCCCAGTTGTGTTTCCATCACTTACCGGCAATGTAGGTGGTTTCTGCCACATTTCTCATATTTGGGAAAATTTCTTCAACTCTTTCTACCTCTGTTCCTCATCTGTAAAATGAGAATAATGAAAATCTTATTCTCATAAATTTCTGCAAGATAATACTTAAAGCAGTTCTGGGGATATAGTAGGTCCTCAGAAATGGTAGCCATTATTATATAATCAAAAAGCATGAATACTCAAAACAACTATAATTTTTACATATAAAAGTTAACCAAACTGTTAAAAAGATTGAAATTATATATTCTAATATCTACCACAAAAATATCAAATGTTTTTGCTTAAGTTCTGTGCCTTCTCATCCACTTCAGTATCTGTGCAGTTCTTGGCACATGATTTGTTGAGGAATGAAAAAAGTGAATGATTAATTGATTAATTCTTACCACATACCTCTTGATTTTCTTCAGGCATGCTTGAATAACTCCAGGAAAACTGTTTGCTTTAAGAAATATGGTGCTTAATGATTATGAGAAACATTGTAGTTTAGGTTCTGTATAACTCAATTGACAAAATTAATTGCTTTTCTGTTATGCTCTTCATGGATTTTTATTGATCCTTTTACATAGAACAAAGCCTATTAGTATCTTTAAGCTTGCAATAAAGATTACAGTGTTTAGCATATTAATAAAGAATTGAAATGCATGCTTGTGTGTGCACATGAGACAGAGAGAGATTTTAAATAAGATCTAATTTTTATTTGTATGTTTCAGTGGTATCAGTGTTCATGAACATCATTATAAAAATTAATAATTTCCTTGTAAAATCCAAGGATACAAATGCCACCTTGCTTGACAGTATTTCTGAGACTTACAACTCTGATAATTAGATACAACTTTTCTGCTATGTTAAGGAAGACAGATTTCCTTCACCTTAAGAAGGGGGGAAATAGAGACAACTGTACTTGAACAACAATAAAAAAAAAGAAAAAAAAGAATTATATTTATGCCTTTCAGTGTTTGAATAATTTTCAAATTTGGTATTATTTCCTTTCTAATGGTCATGAATTCATTGTGGTTTATAAAGTATTGAGATTGTCCTTAAATTTGTCCATATCTCCTATCATCCATAGAAGTAGAACAGCTGAGGTTATTGAAAGAATGGAAAGTGACCAGATAAAAAATCAATGTACACAAAGCTGTTGCATTTCTATATACAATCAATGAAATATCAGAAAAATAAATGAAAAAAAAATTTATTTTGCAATTGCAATTGCTACAAGAAAAATAAAATACCTAGGAATATGTAAAGTGTGTGAAGGACCTATACACTGAAAACTACAAAGCATTTAACAGAGATTTAAAAATATACATAGAAACAAAAAGATATTCCATATTTATGAATTGGAAGAATCAACATTGTTAAAATGTCCATATTACCCAAAGCTATATACAGGTTTAATGCAACCTCCATCAAAATACCAATGGCATTTTTTAAAGAAATAGAACAAAAAAAAATCTTCAGATTTGTACGGAATCACAAAAGGCCCAGAATAGCCAAAACAATCCTGAGAAAAAAGTCAAAGCCAAAGGTATCACAATACCAGATTTCAAATTATACTCCAAAATGACAATAATCAAACCAGCATGGTATTGGTGGAAAAACAGACACACAGACAATAGAACAGAATTGAGAGCCCAGAAATAAACCCACATATTTGTGGTAATTTTTGACAAATGAGCCAAAAACATACAATGGATAAAAGAAAGCATCTTCAATAAACAATGCTGGGAAAATTGGAAAGCTACATGCGGAAGAATGAAACCAGACTACTGTTGTTCTCCATATACAAAAATTGTAATATAAGAACAGTAAGTAAATTACATAGAATAAAATATTCTATGTTTTATTTATGTTTAGTTCTATAGATACTAAACTATGGACCTTGGTCTTAGAGAAGGTTTTATGAATTTGACCCAAAAGTAAGAAAAGTAAAGGCAAAAATAAATGAATGGGACTATATCAAGCTAAAAAGCTTTTCCACAGCAAAAGAAACTGCCAATGGAACAAAAAGGCAACAAACCAGATGGGAGAGGATATTTACAAATAATAGCTCCAGCAAGGGGTTAGTACCTCAAATATATAAAGACCTCATACAACTCAACACCAAACAAACTAAAAATCCAACTGAAAAAAAAGGCAGATCGCTGAACAGAGACTTCTCCCAAGAAGGCATACAAATGGCCAACAGATATATAAAAAAGATAATGAACTTTATGCACCATTAGGTGAATGCAAATCAAAACTGCAATAGGATACCATCTCACAATGGTTAGAATGGTTATTATCAACAAGACAAATAATAACAAACATTAGAAAGGTTGTGGAGGAAAGGGAACCCTCATTCATGCTGATGGGAATATAAACTGGCACACTCACTATGGAAAACAATATGGAGTCTCCTCAAAAATTTAAGAATGAGGATTTTTATTCATATAGGAACCCAAACATAGTTTGGCCAACTTTTCTACAATCTCCAATTTTTCACAAAGTACATTAGCTTTTTTCCAGAAGGAAGTTTATGGGTCCTTGGCCTCTCCATCCAATATATATTTTCTGGTTTTCCATTATAGCATTATTATTAAGAATTACCAGAGCCTTTTCTCTGCCAGCTTCCACTGAATTTTTAATTACCTGAGAACAAAAATTTTGTCTTTTTATGAAAGTCTGCTTAATATCTATCAGTATATATTAAGCAGTCAACAACAACAACAAAAGCCATGTAAAGAGAGGAATGTATTTACCTCTTAAAAATTTTGTTACAATATTACTTTATATGAGATATGCTCGATTAATCTAAGTCCTAATCCCTGAAAAAGTGAACTATGTACAGGCAAATTTATAGACAGAAAATAGGTTAAAAGTTACCAGGGGCTGAAGGGAGGGTATAATACGAAACTATTGCTTCGTGGATGTGGATATAGTTTCTATTTGAAGGTAAGGAAAAGTTTTGGAAATATAGTGGTGATGGTTGTCCACATTATGAATGTAATTAGTGACACTTGAACTGTACATTTAAAATGGTTAAAATGACAATTTCTATGTTTTATACATTTTACCACAATGAAATTAAAAAGTAATTCACCAGTAGGAAAAGCACTGAAATACTCAACATGACAAATACATATTTTCTAAACAGGAAAGTTTCTTGGATAAATAAAGAATTCATAAAAAGAAGCTCAGCAACCAGTTCTGGAACCAAATACAATTGAAGAAATAATTGTTTTAATTTATTTTTATTTAAGAAACATAGTGCTGCCCTGGCTGGCGTAGCTCAGTGGATTGAGCACGGGCTGTGAACCAAAGTGTCGCAGGTTCGATTCCCAGCCAGGGTACATGCCTGGGTTGCAGGCCATAACCCCCAGCAACTGCACATTAATGTTTCTCTCTCTCTCTCTATTTTCCTCCCTTCCCTCTCTAAAAAATAAATAATAAAATAAAATAAAATCTTTAAAAAAAGAAACAGTGCTGCAACAGAAACCACTATTAAATGATGAAATGAATTTAAAAACTGAATACTTGAATGATAAAAATAAAGCAGCATTTAAATAAATGGACATCTAAAGGCAAATGCCCCTGAACAGCCGGGCCCAACTTACTAGTCTTCTGCTCACAGACAGACATTAGTGGGTGGAAACAGTGGGCTGTCCACATCTGCATGGCCACATCATCAATCATTATTGATAGGAAGTGCTATCAATTTTAACATTATAGAACTTTGGGGTCAGGTCGAATGGATTTGTGCCCTAGATCTGCCTCATCTTTTGGGACAATGTAAGGTTTTTAATCTCCCTGAAAATGCAGTTTTCTCATCTAACAAGTAAAAGGGAAAAAATCCAACATTATTGCTTTCTTTATGTAGGTGATGAGCACCTGGTAAAGGCTGATCATGCAAATGTTTTCACTTCATCATAGCACAGAGGTCCAAAAAGTTTGTTAAACAAGTAGTTATTCTATATAAAATATCACGTTCTAAAAATAAGTTTAGTACCAGATATTTTTGTGTGTGAACATTTCTGTCTTTCCCTTGGGGGTCTAACCTTATGCTTCTCATGCTTGATAACTGATTCAATATTATCCCACCCAAAGTCCCAGGCTTTTGGGAAATACCAACCATGTTCAGAGCACCGTGTAATTGTTGGCAATCTGTAAATTATCTTTCCCAAGCAAACATGCAGTTAAAGTTGAGATGCATTCTTTTCCTTCAAAAAGCAGTCTCATCAGCATTGATTTCCATGTGAAATTTTTTCTAATCATTTTCTCTTTTTCTGTTTTCTTTCCTTACATGCTGACTTCGGTGTAGCAGACCACTTGGGGATTGAATTCATGGGTAAGATTAAACAATGTGTTTCTTAAGTATACACAAAAAGCTAAGTTTGAATATGTTTATAGTGTTCTCCTCCTTCATCTGATTATACTTGAATGTTTAATTATTACATGCTATTAGTAGTAAAAAATATTTTTGTCAATTTTTCACTAAGTAGTGGCGCAAAATGAAAGACTTAACTACTTATCAGGAAGTCAATTTAATGTTAAGTGGCACTCTGGAATCATATGGAAGTTGGATTTGACTCCTGGCTTTGATTGTTTCCCTAATTCTCAATTTTCTTATCTGTAAAATAGGGATAATAATCATTCCTATTTCATTGTAAGGATAAATTGCTTAGCACAATGTTTACAAGACTCAAATACTCAATAAATGATAGAAAATAATTGTGATGCTTTTAAAATGTCACTTTTGTTATTTTCTGCTCTAATTCTTTTTCCTTTTGCATGATGATTGCTTTGGATACATTTTGGTATGAATCATAATTTGGAGTATGAACTATATAAACTTTTCATTTTACAAAACTAACATATTTCTTTTGAAAATACTTGCAGTGAATGGCATATTTTTAAAAGCATTAGAATGCCTTCCACACGAATTATTCTCTATATTTATAGTTAATTATGTAAGAATGGGTCACACTTTTATGAGTCTATTTTTAAGTAAAATTAAAGAAAAAAGCATTTCATGGGGTTGGTATGCATCATGGTATTAAAATGAAAATATCCTTAAGAGCTAAGTTTGTGAAATGGAAAAGACCTAAATTTTATAATTTTCTGCTTAATTGGCTTTTGTTAAACTTTGGATTTTTCTCTTACATTATAAGAATATGAATACTTCCTTCATGCATGATACACTTATTATGATAACACTTATAAATTTACTTGTATTTATTTATCCATTCACACATTAATTCATCAAATATGCATTAATTGCTCACTGTAAGCAAAGAAAAAATGCAAAATGCTAGAGATAAAATAGCGAATAAAAATGATAAAAAAAACTCCTAATTTAATGGAGCTTATAGTCTAGTAAATTTAGAGATGGTAATCAGGTAATATTACTAATAAATATAAAATTGCAAATTTTTGATACCTTTGACAGGCAAGATATAGGAAAAAAATGATAGATATTTAAAACATAATAATAACAAATATTTGAGAGGAATTGATGTTGATGTTTAGAAAGAGCAGATTATTAGAATGATTGCAGGGTTTATTGTTTTCATATTTAGATAAAAATGGACCCATCTGAAATATAATAATGGGAAAGGAACAAATTTATGAAAGGTATTTACTAGATTATGTTTGGAACTGTTGAGTAGAAGTCAAATTGGTAACTGCATTACTGGAAGTTTTGAGGGTTAATTAGATGTTAGTGATTTCATATTTATATTGGAATTGAAACACCCTGTTCTGTGATATTTACTAATGCTCTATTATCTTGATATTATAATTTAGAAAAAGCAGACAGCTCAATTTCTACAGATTTGAGGCTTTTTTGGATAGATGTGATTAAAACTCTTAAGGGCAATGAAATTCAGAATGATATCCAAATGTAGCATTCTGGAATGTAAGGTAATAAGGAAGGAAGTGAAGAAGGGATGGTTATCTCAATGGAATCAGGGCAGTACTCAAACAAGTTGCTGGCATGGAAAGGAGGTTGTAATCACATGGACTAGGAAGTACAGAAAATTACAGTCATGGTCATACAGTTAAGTATAAACTGTATTTTGAAAAGGACATGTGGTTTGAACTTTCCTCATTTACTGATAAAGGTGAGGATTAGCAGCATGGAGTCCTAAGAATCAACAATCATTTTGAGGGAAATGGGTACTAGGCATAGTGGATACAGCAATTTGCCCTACTGGACTGGGATGGTTGTAGGTTATGTAGCAAAAAGCTGCAGATACCTCATGAGCTGTGAATAGGGATAGGGTAGCTTCAGATCCCACAAGAGGTATGGCCAGGGTTATAATAAGCAGAAATTGCTACATCAATGTTAATGATCACTGTTAAAAGTAATTGCCACCAATCACTACCCTACTGGGCTTTTTCAGAGGCCCTCCATGACACTGGCACCTTATAGTATAACAATTTGCTAAGGAACTGGGATATATATTAAGAGGTATATTAATACATTTTAAAATTTTGGTTACTGGTAGGTAAAAAATAAACAGATATTATGTGACCATTTATATGAAACTTAACGCTAAGGAAATAATGAATCTTGCAAAAGTTGGAATAATACCATATCTACAAAGCCTTATAAACAATGAATTCTCAGTTTGTGAATATTTGACCCCAGAAGTAGAGACTGCCTTGGAGGGAAGGAGTTGTGCAACAAGTCAGAATTAAAGGGGGTATATATGCATATAGATAATGGCAACTGATGAAGAATTTTCCATAATGTTGAATAGATTAGTAAATAAACTGTTTTCACTGATCTCAGATTCTAGACACTATTTATTCCCACAGGTTGCTCCATTACATATATAAAATTCTTTTTGTTACTATGGAAATGAATCTTTTCATATTTAACTTGTGATTTTTAGAATTCCTATAAGTAAATTTTTTTTTTGTTGCAGTTGAATGCATCCCAGCAATAAGGCATCTCTAGATATAAATTCTGCTGGGAAACAGTAATGTAAGCATAATCTCTATACAATTAACCATGTTGCTATATTGATGTGCCAAAAATAATCAGTGCCGGTTCTGTTTTAATGAGTTCTAGAATACCTTTATTCTCAGTGCTCATCATTATTGCTTTGGACAATGTTGGTTTCATCTTTCCTTGAGTTGAAATATGAGTTACAAGGTGATAATCTGAAACTCATATTCCTTTTCCCCAAGTCTTTGTATTTTCAAAAGCCACATCTATGTGCACCCTATTGATCAGACTAAAAACCTGAGTACTCCATACAAATTCTTATTTATAGCAGGGAATTGCAAATCATATCCTTCAAGAATCTTATTATTATTTAATCAACATACACTTATTATACTATGTCTCAGATATATAGTATATTGAAGATGTACATATAAAATCTACATTCCTTTATGTTGAATGACTCTGACACCAAAAAAAGAGAAAGCTAGATATAATTGAGGTGATATAAGAGATACTATAAATAAAAATGGCATAGGCAAATTATAAGAAAGAAGGGAGGAAGGAAGGAAAGAAGAAAGGAAGGAAGGAAAAGGAAGGGAGGAAGGAAGAGAGAAAAAAGAAAAAAAACTAAATGTCTTGGGAAATCCTGAGATAACTTCCCAGGGCAAGAGGTATATAAGCTGAGTACCAGCCAAAATTTTGCCCAGTGATGCCATAAACCAAAGCTATACTCGCTCAATATTGTTTCCACTTCAGGTTAAACCTTCCTATTTTGGCCTATCTGGGTTTATAAGGTCTCTTGAGTTATGACTTTAGCACTAGAGAGAGAATATAAACTTTACTAAAAACACTTCACCAAAAACTTTTCTGAGCTGATTTATTAATTGTAAAGAATAATTATCTATCCTGGGTGGCGTAGCTCAGTAGATTGAGCATGGGCTGTAAACCAAAGTGTCGCAGGTTCAATTCCCAGTCAAGGTACATGCCTGGGTTTCAGGCCATGACCCCCAGCAACCGCACATTGGGTTTCTCTCTCTCTATCTCCCTCCCTTCCCTCTCTAAAAATATTAATAAATAAAATCTTAAAAAAAAGAATAATTATCTAATCAACAAAACAATGAAAGAAGCAAAATATAGCCAAAGACACTGAAATAGAGAACAGGCTGACAGTGATTAGAGGGGAGAGAAGAGGGAATTTCAGGGGAGAATGGGAAAAGTTTACAGGAACAAATTTAAAGGACACATGGACAAAAACTAAGGGGAGGGTGGTAATGGGAGGGAAGTGGGGAGAGTTGGGTGGGTGGGCTGGAGTGGGAGTAAAAGGGAGAAACTGTACTTGAACAATGATTAAAATTTAAAAAAAATTTTTAAAAGAATAATCTTATTGAATAAGCCATCCCAAACTTAATGGCTACAAAACTATCAGCATTCAAAATAACTTTTTCTTAGCTGCATTCATGAATTTTTCTTAATGATACTTCTTGGGTTGCTCCAATAGAAATTTCAACAACAAATAATACTGCTCTGGAATACAGTAGTAGTTTAAAAAAAAATTAGTTAACTAATGTATTGAAACGTGCATGAAAATCCAAAATTGTGAAATGTTTGTGAAAAAATTTAGTCTATATTAAACCAATAATCAAAAATACTTCTTGAATTTATAACAACCTTTTCATTCATTCATTCATGAGGGAAATTGATATTTTTAGGGTCAAATATTTGAACTTTCACAGTATGAACAGATCAGTAGATGGAATAGACAAGTACTCATGAGTTGTGTGAGAAATCCAATCAATAATCCAGATGAGACAGATGGCCAAAGGTCACACCAGATTGGCAACATTTCGAAGTCACATTGATCATGAAGAGGTATTATCTCATCTGAGAAATATGTGGTGACTGTGTCTGGTGCTCAGTCATGGAGCACATCTCATTACATCCATTTGAGATATTGTCATGCAGCTATTTCCCTGATACATTTGATATTCCTCTAGTCATCAAGGATGTTTGTATTAAAGCAGGTGCAATGCCATTTGCAAAAATGTTAGCAAACCACAGGAAAAGCTGTAAATTCTGTAGGAAATATTTCATGCAAATGTATTTCATTCCTTTTTGTTCTTTTCTTAAAAAACAAGACAAAACAAACAAACAAAAAAACATCAATTGGCTGCCTCTTGCATGCCCCTAACTAGGGACCTGGCCTTCAACCCAAGCATATGCCCTGCCTGGGAATCAAACTGGTGACCCCTAGGTTCTCAGGCTGGCTCTCAACCCACTGAGCCACACCAGCCAGTGTGTGTTTCATTCTTACATGGAAAAATAAAATGAACTCTATCAGTTACATGTCTTGGTTATGATTTGACATTGTTTTTAGAATAGAGTAATGTATTTAT